CAAGGAATCCTATCTGGGAGTTCATGCTTAGCACATGGGAGAAATTTCAGCTGGTTGTAATCATCAAGATGCCATTTAATCCTACACACTGGCCCTTACAGAATGATTTTGTTTTTGAAAATTGCTGTCTTTTTAAGTTTTGTTAAAATTACTACTGTATAATTGCTGTGTCAGAGTGTACCGTTTGCTCATTTGCACATTTGTGTTATTTTTTTTTAATTTATCATGTTCTTCTTCATTTTATTTATTGCATTTGCCTATCATTGGGCAACAGGTGTTGTTCACTAACTTTATTTCTATTCACTTTTATATATATACATATATATGTATATATATGTATATGATGATTTTGCACCAAAGTTAAATACTCATGTAAACGTAATCTACAACAGCAGTAAAGACTGCCTTATCATTCAGATTTACTACACCATAATATATTTGGTGCATTTTTACTTGTGGTGAACGTTAAATCAGTCGATGAAATGCTTGCTTGTCAAGATAGAGGAGTAGACAGAGACACAGAGAAAGAACAGACAGACCAATATAAGGACTGACAGAAAATGGGACTGATGGATTTGGGTGCCAGAGCAGCTGTCAGAGCAGGTCCTGATGGCAGAGACAGTGCGGAAGACAAACTGTGCAGTGGTTGTGACAGGATGAGGATGAGAGGAAGACAGGCAGCATCTGTGTGTGGGTGTGTGTGTTGGTGTGTGTGTGCTTAAGTATCAATGCATGTGTGCTTTGTGTAGTAACACTCTTCCTCTGGCAGGCTCAACCACTAGGCCTGCCTCTGTGCGCGTGTGTGTGTGTGTTTGTGTAGATCTGGAGCAGTTAGAACAGCAGTAAAGCAGATGTTTCCTCTGTTTGGCTCTAGAACATGAACATGAAGAAAAACAAGGGCCTAACCCAGAAGACAGGATCTCATTGATCATACCCTCAGTAACTGAGTCAAAACGACAACCAGTAAATGAGGAAAATCATGCTAAAAAGGGACTTATAAGGCTTATTGTCAGGTTCATACTTGTATTTGGGGTTTCCACTGGAACATGTTTGCATGCTTTAATGTTCGAAAACACTTTATCGCCCTCATTTTGTCATACTCATACTGTGCTGGAACACCTGTGTTCACCCTCTGACTGAGACCCTCTGTTTTAGTGCTTGTCTCTTAAAGTCCCCCCCCTGCCGAAAAACCCCAGTCTGCTCTGATTGGTTAGCGTTTTCGGGTTTTCCATCAGTACTCTCTGCATCTCTGCGCTGTCAGTGAAGCCAGGGGAATGACTGTAACAGGGTATAACTGCACTTTCTACCACGAGAAATCACCAATAAAAGCTTCTAAACCAAAATCATCACAAGTGGACATGTTACAGCAGGAATATGAGCCAAAATCTGGAAAATAACAACACTGGCAACCAAGACTACATCAGGTGCAGGTTTCCCTCCATGTAGTTACATGTAGAAGTGAATTTAAAGTAAACATTTGCAGGAGTGTGCCTGGAGCAGAAATCCGTCATGAGCTGACGTCTGTTTGTCATAAAAATAGAAAAAAATGTTAGAAATAGAGATTTTAGAACAGTCTGAAACCTGAGGTTGATGTTTACAGGGATTACATAAACATACATTTCCCTTACTATTTAAAACTTTTGCCACATTTAATATGAACTTCTGACGTTGTAAAATAATATATATTAAAGAAAATAATGAAAAGCATTTAGGTTCCCTTTAAGAATTCACCACAAGTTTTAATTCCATTTAGACAGATATTATATATCATACTACACATCTGAGTTTAAACAATTGTCAAAGCTCATGCAATTCTGCAATGATGAATCACGAGGTTAAAGCTCTATATTGTCCATCAGCTGGCACTCCTTAACAGGGTCTGCATTTTAAGTATTAGAAGGTGTAAAGTAATCTGTGTGTAGAATCCACTTGTTCTCACAAATAATCTGCACAAATTCCCTTGTGTTGCACCTGCCAGTGACAATAAGTGAACATGACTATGTGTGAGAGCGACTGCATGACTGGAAGTTGGTGTAAAGCAATCCACTGATCTCCACCTCTGTCCTGATAGTCCCGGTTTTGGTCAGCCACGAGGAGCAGAGCAGCTGCACAGTGCTAATCCTAACAGGCAAACGTTGTGAACACAAGTGTTCTGCTGCTGCTGCTGAACAGCCAACCACATGTCAAAAGTGTCGAGTCACCCTGAGAGCAGCCACTTGACCCAGGAATGCTCTATCACATTGGACTACACTGTATGCTTTTTTTGTGTGTGTGCAGACTGCGGCCAATTAGCGCTGACAGAGTGTACGATGAGGTACAGTGTGAGGGGACTGAGGGAGAGAGAACAGGAACTGGCCTTTTCATCATCACTTTTAAACCAAATTTTGCATCTGGTGAAACAAAACCAATCTTGTGTGTGCCAGCATCTGCAGAGAAAAGCTACCACCAACCGATCCAAAGTGTATGCAAATCAATTCGTAATTATAGTTCCTACGAGATATATAATAACACACCATCAAATGACTGGTCACTAAAGCATTCACTGTGTTGGCCTGAATGTAAGACATAAAAAAAACACTTGGAGAGTTTACTGTATTATGCTACGGAATCTCCCCCTCCAGCTGCTCTTTGAAAAGACTATAGTTAAACAGGCCAGGAGAATTATTGCAGATCCCTCCTCTGCCCTGTTTTCAGTAGGGCTGTAGACTTCTGGTCAGTTGGTCGATTGTTTAGTCATTATGCTTTGGTCCAACCAAGGTCGGACAATCACTGGCGTTACTTGAATAAGGCTGTGTGTCCACCATGAGGTTTCTTTCCAGATGAAAATGGCAGTTGTTTGTTCTCTGTGAGGGTTGGTCTTTGCTGTGTTTGTCCCGCCCCTTTTCTACTGTGATTGGTTGGCTGGTGACAGTGACAAGTGCAGTGTTTTACCCAAAGTTGAACATTTTTCAACTCTCATTTTAATCATGAATGTGGATAATTAATCACTGAAGACATTCAGTGTTTGATTTAATCACTATTGATTTATTTTACTAAATCTCTAAAAAGACACTGCAGTTCAAGGCTGGAGTATAAAGCCTCTGGAGCGGCAGGGTAGCTCATGTTAGCTTCTGGGCTAAAAATAGTAAGTCTTTCTCTCACATGCAGCATTACAGAGATATTTTAAATGTTAGTAGCGTTATGTTTTATATGACATCATCAACCATACAGTTAATGTATTTAGTGTCCATTATGTCAGAGTTTCCTCAAGAGTCCTGTTCAACACTTGCGAGCATCTCAAGTAGAAAGGTGTTAAACATGTGCGTGTTTATTTTAGGTCATTATTACATCAGAGATCACATTTATATTTCACTCAGGGCATTCCACTTGCCTGAACAGAGAGTTAAGTTGCCCTGGGCAAGTGTTACTGTCGAGTCCTGTAACAGGAAAAAAATGCTTTGGTGGACACACAATTTAGTTAATCTAGAGATAACATGCAAGATTTTTTCTTGATTGATTACAACGCTTGTATTCAGAATCAAACTGCTCCCATCAGCTAAATGCTACTGGGGTTCCTATTAAATACAGGAGGAGATACCAAAATAGATAAGAACTCTGTCAGTGAATCTGCTAAACTCAGGACAGAAGGAGGGTGTGAAAAAAGGGGCGGAGTTGCACATATCTGAATGCACTTTATGTTTGTACTTGACTGCACTATGCACCTTACGTCTGTTTCTGCCTCTTGGAAATACTGGGATTGCGTTATGTTTTAGGAACAGACATCAACATAATTACACATCCAACAGTCTCTCTATCTGACTCTAGACTGTACGTCTCTCTTTCTAATTGTAATGTTTTTTCTGTCTAACATATCTGCAGTTTTGACTCTCTGAGGACAAGAAACACTCTGCCCCAGACTTTTACAACACTTTGCTTTCATACAGTCATGGTCTTCTCATTTTCAATACACATTCACATGAACCTCACCTCTGATGAACATGCATTTGACACCATGTGAGAACACTCTATCGTAGCTTTGCACATTTTAAGAGCTTTTGATTAGCAATTTAAAAAGCAAATCAGTCATTGTGCGCCAAAATGGTAGAAGCAGAGAAACCACCTAAAGCTAACATTTACAGGAATCCATGCTTGTGGGGTTTCGATGGCAGAGAAAGACACTGTAGTGGTATCATATCATTGTGATACTGAAAATGACAGTAACAGGGTCAATTATAGACTCTCTGCTGACCTTTACCTCACTGACAGCTACTTCTATTTCCCATTATCAGGGATGTATACACCTGCAGCAAGTCTGAGAATACATGTATGTCAATGCAGTCATGAGGCAGAGCAATGTGACAGTAGTCAACTAAAACATGAGACTGTGAAACACATCAACATCAGCACAACTGTAGGCAGGCTAATCCCAGTTACATTAAGTTTCATTTCTAAAGTAAGATCAGTAAGAGTGTAATGAGTAAGAATTTCCACTACTCCCTCATTAAGTTTTTGTTTTTTCAGAAACAACATGACAGAAGAAGACTATAAGCAGGCAGAAGAAAGCTTTTCAGGCTCCTGCGCAAGACAGACAAGCCAGCGAGACTGGTTTCAATCAAAACAAAACTACAAGCCCAGCAGTGCTATGATCTATTGTTAACAGAGATGGCATCTGGGGATAGCAGGGGTATTCACTAACACACTCTATACTGTCTTCTGGAGGCATTTCCAAAACATCTAATTAGTTCTTTCCTCTGTAAGGTATCTGTATCTCTGTTACAGAGGCGTGTAATGTTTCAGGATATACAACACATATACATTTTGTTATACACAGCCAAGGCCGTTTTTACATATCTTGTGTCTGCTCATATACAGCTCATGAGTCATTCAGAATATGGTCATTCAGGCTCGTCTGAGATCCAGCAAGGACAAACACAGAAATAAGTCGCACAGAGAAGTTGCTCACATGAATCAGCAGCCCACGTGAGCTCAGTGAAAACAAAAAAAAAGGTAATTCATCTTACCTGAGATCACCTCCTGAGGCTAATCCTGAGCATATCCCACTGAAAGGATCCCATTCCTAGAAGACACAGCAATGCAGTCAAGTATGAAGGCAGTCAGAGTGATGAGGATGAATGATTTCAGATAATGGCATTTCAAATATCACACACCGTAGCTTTTTTTTTTTTTCCCTGGTGACAGGCTGTGGCTTTAAACAGTAAGTTGTCATCATTTTTGATTCATTGATAACAAATTGGAAATTCCTGTAACTGACAATCAGATAAAATGTGCTCTGACACATTTTGTTTATTGTCAAAAGAAATCTTTGATGTGTCATACTTTCCAGCGTCCTGTCAAATGTACCTTAATAGCTGTTGGTGTGACATTTCCAGCACTGGGCTGTACAAAAAAAGTTTTTAAAATTCCTCAATGAAATCACAACACAGTAAAAGTGTGCCTCATTGCATGAAACTAAATCTCATAATATTGGTTTCATGTAACATGAGTACAGGAGCTGGGTAAATACATTGTTCTGCTATTCTTCCCTACTCTCATACGTACTTTGGGCCTTATCACTCATCACAATGACTTGGATGAGAAGAGTGGATTATTCCACAAAGGAGCCAATTGACTTAATGCTAAGTCTCCTTCCTATCAGGTGTAATCTCTCTGCTTTCCCCATAGAGATCATCTTATGAGAAGGATGCAGCGAAGCCCAAAGGCCTTTCACCACAGCGGGTCAGAGAGCTAGCTTCACTTCCGAAAGGTAATGCCCCATCCCTCGCTCCGGAGTTCCCGCAGAGCTTCATTTAACAGTACGACAATGTTGACTTCACCTACAGGTAAGTGGGAGAGGAGCGAAGCAGTGATGGAGTGCAGGAGGCGGGGAAGCTGTGGCATGAAAGCCAGTGAAATGTGAAGTTGTCAAAACACATATTTCCCTTTTTGTGACTACAGTGGAAATACAAAGCAGCTGAAAAGCGGTGAGGTTTCAATTAGATCCCTCACTCTTCAGAAGTCAGGAAATGGGATCAGAAGAATGATGAGCGAGACATCCAGGACTTAAGATCCTGCATTGTCTGAGATGGCTTTTTAAACGTCTTCCATTATCCAGCCGTGTCTTTGAAACCTGAGCTCCTGGCAGTGCACATTAGTTACCCGCTTCCTGATAAACAAATCTAAGACGACCACACCAGGAAATCTAATTCAGTAGAACCTGACTTGACTGTATGCTTTCCAAACCAGTCTGATGGCATCTGATAATATTTATTACAGTTGATGAACGGCAAATCCCACAGCTCTCGTAGAGGAACTTCCCCTTTCTTTTTGAAAGCTCGTCATCATTTTTGCATATTTCCCTCACACTCTCTCTCTCCCTTTACCTCCATGGATGAGTTTGCTAACAGCGTACCACCAGCTTTAAGGTCTGTGTCGTGTCCTGAGATGACAGCAGCTGCTGGGACGGGCCACACCGAGTGCAGCTGAATGCTTCAGTGGAAGGGGGAATCTCCCGCTATGAACAATGCTACACTCATGCATGCTTCAAACAGCCTTGCTGTGCATCCTCAACTCTGAAGCAGAAGATAAACAGCTGCATTTTATCAGGGTATTAGAAAGTTTCTCTGTTGTGTGTGTGCGCGTTTTGTTATGCGATGTTCTTCCAGGTGGGTGACAACAAAGAGGCGAGGCTGCAGGTAGAATCCCAGACCTATTCTGGCTCCCTAATCTCTCCATTTGACAAACACTTTGATTTGTGAGTCAGTCCAAAGCCTGAGCAAACAGCCCATCCCATCGCCACCCAAGAAAAGACTGCAAGCAACTTTCAGTCAACTCTTTGGTCTCCCCTGCGTTTGTTCAAGGAGGTTCACCTATCTTTTCAACCCCAGGTTAACTGGAACAAAAATCAGTTGATTGGCAGACTTCAGTGTCCTCCCCACTCCCTTTTGTGAGGCAGTTTATTTGAGGCTTGTTAAGAATTCACCTGCTTTCTGTTTGTCCCTCGCCAGCATGACCAGGCAGATGCTTCTTCACAGAGGTCAGCACACACACCAACTTATAAATGTATGAAAACACACAGCCACACAATGTTGACAGAGATGTTTCAGACCATCAAAGATAGGGACAAAGATAAAGAATAAATAATAGATATCCACAAAGAAAAGAGAGGAGAGAGAAAAGGGATGGAGGGGAAGAGCTGCAGGCACTTGATAGGACAAAGCCATGGATTCCTGTCCTGTTTTAGCAGGTTAGCATCATTTGTTCTCTCTCTCTCTCTCTCTTTTTTGACTTCACATTTAACCTCTTACATACCGTTCATATTTTAAACTGGGTCAATTTTGACCCAGCCCAAGAATCCCCTCATAACAAGTATTTATACCAACATTCAAATTATATGACAGGGCTCAACAATAAGGATTGCCCGATTGCCCGGGGCAAGTAAAACTCACGGTCGGGCATGTAAACTAACAACCCACTTGCCCGATCGGGCAAGTTGCTAAAAATAGTAAAAGTTAATAACTAATTGATAAAATAAATGTATTTTAAAATGTGCTCCTTCAGCTCTGATGCAGCGGTCTCTCTGCCTGAAGTCACAGGCACAGCTGTGTAACAATGTCCTGCCCACAGCCCCCATTGATATTATTTTGCGCGACGAACGCTTCATATAATAACATAACAACATACTATTTATGGTGTTATGTCATCGTGTCATTTCTCCTCTGCTCTCTGTATCGTGCACGGCGGAATTCCGCCACACACACAGGTGAGCACGCTAGAGCGGCTCGGGCCGCATTTTCCTGACCAAACCTGACCCCGAGCCCGGTGCAGTTTGTCAGCTGACAAAGTTATTGTTATGGACAGTGTGTAAATAACCAACAGACTGCTGTTAGGCACAGACAAACACTCTGCACTCCGAGCAGCGTAGCACGGCACTCATGCTGAGCTTGTGTTGCGTTCAGGTGTTGTCACGTAAATAACAACTTCCAGCACTTAAATAGGTCATAGCACAAAACAGCAGCATGTCAAGTGACTTTTTACTTTTATTATATTCAATAAAATTGTATGTTCCTAAATCTTGAGACACCTCATATGTAAGCTAGACAGACATTTCACCTGCTCATTACTGTGCACACATGTACTGTATGTACTTAGTCCTAAAGAGCCCTTCTGGTGCCAGTAGATACACAGAAACATCCCAGCAAGCTGTGCTTTGCAAGCATACAAAAAAGTTTCACGCATGTGAAAATTATTTTTCATGCGTGTGCTTCACCTCCGCTGCTACAACTCCATCCTAGGGGAAACACTGCTGTGTGCGTTTTGTGCAACAAGTGGATGTGGTAGTCTACTGGTAGAGTAGAGAGAGAGCTAAGTAGCGTTGAAGTAGAGTAGAGCAGGGCAGAGAGATGGAAGCAAAATATATTAAACCCGGTGTTAATACAGCAGAACTGGAGAGAGGGGTGAAAAATAAATAGAGGTGGGCATGGCTCAAGTAGGGCGCAAAATTATAGACGGAGAATGATTGACACATTTTTCACTTTAAGCCCTGACACTGTCATATTTGTGTAGGAATTAAGCTACAATACATGACATATGTTTAATTAATAAATACAGTGTGAATAAAGATTACATAACATGAAAATAACTGCAGTCTTTGTTAATTGATAGCCGCTTAAATTAAACAATTTTTATAGGGCAAGTAAAAACTGACTTCGGGCAAGTAGATCTGTGACCAACTTGCCCGACCGAGCAAGTGAAAAAAAACCTTAGCGTTGAACCCTGTATGAATAGCTTGTCTGACATTAATGAATGAGCATTAAATTCAATTTGTTTATGTAGAAAAATCATCTATTATCACACAATATCATATCCAGTTTTACCTAAGACATAAAGACATAAAATCCATGATGATTTAAATCTATTTTATTAACACCAAAAATGGCAGGAACATACTGGAACTGTGGGGTTTAAAGGAGCTATATGTAAGAAATCTAAAGCAAATAGTCATAAAATCATCCTAATTAGCGAATCAAATCAATTATTTTTAACAATAGTACGGCCAGAATATTCGCATTTAAAAAAAAATTTTACGGTCTGCAAATCATGTTTATGTTTTGAATTTGTATTTTGGCCTGTTGCGCCACCCACCGCCGTCTATCAGTCACACAGTCAGTAGAGTCTCAGCATCAGTTACAGTTACGATGGCTGATGGTACGACTAAACCCAAACAACCTCGTTATGATTCCCAAAAATGCCAAGACAAAACTCGAAGCAAAGCAAGGGTCTATACAGGAGATGCTTTTGAACGGTGGAGACGGTTGAAAGCGGAGAAGAATTTGAAATCGGATGTCGAAGTGGCTACTCTTCTCCTCGACAGGTAAGCTTTAGCCAAAGTTGGCTAACTAGCATCATAGCTAGATGGGGATGGACATTTCGAATAGTTTCAACTGTTATTCATTTTCGATCATACATTGTGGCCCATGTGCAGGTGGGTCATCAACCCCACTGATTTTTTTGAGAAACAAATGTTAGCAACACGGCAAGCAACATTAGCAGTGTCCCGGTACATAGCAATAGCAGTCGGCTCCTCCTCAGCTGTATCCCGGAAGCAGCGTTAGCAGCAGAGAAGCCGGACTTGCTCAAACGGTCCGCTGGAAAACCGAAGATCAAGGACACGGCGACGCAGCCCTGCCATGGTCAATGTGTGTGTTTCCACCCGCTGCGGCTGTGCTGCGTACCAGCTCCGTCTCAGCTGCGGCACTCCGGAGCCCTCCGCAACAGATATGCAGGACTTCTATTTTTGCCGGACTCTGGAGCACAACGCAGCAATTCAGCACAGAGCAGCAACCTCGAATCTGTAGGGGAGGGGGGGCGGACACGACTCGCGGCAGTACTTTGAATTTGAGTGCAGTAACCGTTTTGGCCACATTCTTACATACAGCGCCTTTAATATATAACTGTTTACAACCATTACAACCATTAAACACTTATCACTGCTACTGTATATCATAAGAAAAAAATCTCATTACTACTATCTAATTGTAATTATAATTATAATTATTATTATTATTCTTTCAATAGATA